CTTAATAGAAATGAAATAATTAATATCCCTAGTGTAATAGGGGACCTAAACACTCCATTGACACAGAAAGACAGGCCAACTAAACAAAAAATCTGCAAAGAAATAACACATCTGAACCACATCTGCAAACACATGTACTTGGTAGAAGTGTACAGAGTGTTCCACCCCACTACATCATCATACACATTCTTCTCAGCTGCACATGGGACATTCTCTAAAACAGACTACATTCTAGCCCATAGAGCATACTTAACTGAATGGAAAAGAAGTGAAATTATCCCATGCATATTATCTGACCGTAGTGCAATGAAACTGGAAATAAATGACAAAAGGAACCACAAAATCTCTATAAAGACATGGAAATTAAATAACAACTTCCTGAACAAACGATGGGTAATAGATAAAATTAAAGAAGAAATTAAAAACACGTATAAACGAAGAAAATTGTAAATACAACTTACCAGAATCTGTGGGATGTATGGAAAGCAGTCATCAGAGAGAAACTCACATATAAGGAAAACAGAATGAAAACAAGTAAATAACCTAGTGCTGCACCTCAAAGTTTTAGAGAAAGAAGAACAAGTAAAGCCCAAAGCCCAAAGAAGGGAGGAGATTATAAAGATCAGGGCAAAAACTAATGCAACTGAGATGAAGAAAATGTTACAAAAATAAATACATTAAAGAGTTGGTTGTTTGAGAGAATAAATAAAATTGATAAACCTCTAGCCAACTTTATCAAAAAATTAAGGAAAAAACTCATATTCATGTAATAAGGAATGAAAAGGATGGAATCGTTACAAATCCTATAGATTTTCAAAAGATCATTAATACTACTTTGAAATTTTTTACTCCCATAGGATAGAAAACTCAGAAGAAATTAACAGATTCTTAGACACGTAGGAATTACCAAAGTTGAATCAAAAAGATATAAAAATCCTGAACAATCCAATATCAATAAATGAGATTGAAATGTGATTAAAAACTTACTGACAAAGAAAAGCCCAGGTCCTGATGGTTTCCAGTGGAATTCTACAAGAATTTGAGAAGATTCAATGCCAGAATTCCACAAAAGCTTCAATGAACTTGAAAAGGGAGCAATTCTCCTTAACACATCTCTGGAGGTAAGTATTATGCTGATACCAAAACCAGAGAAAGACCTAAGCAAAAAAGAGAACTACAGACGAATCTCCCTAATGAACATGGATGCAAAGATAGTCAATAAAATATTAGCAAATAGAATGCAGCAAAGCATCAAGAAAATCATACACCATGACCAAGTGGAGTTCATCCCAGGAATGCAGGAATGGTTCAATATAAGCAAATAAATAAATATTATACACCATATCAATAGAGGTAAAGATGAAAACCACATGCTCATCTCAATAGATGCAGAAAAACTTTTTATAAAGTCCAACACTTATTCATGATAAAAAACCTACAGAAAATAGGAATAGATGTTCTTAACCTCAACCTGATCAAAGTCATGTATGACAAACCAGCAGCCAACATCATATTAAATGGACAGAAACTGAAAGTTTTCACTTTAAAATCAGGAACAAGACAAGGATGTCCACTGTAACCACTCCTTTCAACATACTTCTGCAAGTATTAGCTAGAGCAATCACATGAGAGAGAAATAATAGAAATAAGGATAGGAAAAGAAGTGAAATTATCATTATTTACAGACGACATGATAGTCTACATGTAAGACTCCCAAAACTCCACTAGAAGACACCTTGAATTCATCAACAAATTCAGTACTGTAGCTGGATACAATGTCAACACTCAGAAATTAATAGCATTCCTATACACAAATAATAAACACACTGAGAGAGAAATTAAGAGAACCATAAACTGACATATTAAAGAATCAACCTAATAAATGACGTAAAAGATCTATACAATGAAAACTACAGTACTCTGAAAAAAGAGATAGAAGAAGATTTCAGTAAATGGAAAAACATTCCTTGCTCATGGATAGGAAGAACATTGTGAAAATGGCCATACTACCAAAATTGTTGTACAGATTCAATGCAATTCCAATTAAAATACTGTTAGCATATTTCACAGTTCTAGAGAAAACATTCCTAAAATTCATCACGAACCAGAATAGGCCCAGACTAACAAAAACAATCCTGGGCAACAAAGACAAGTCAGATGGCATCAAAATTTACTGTTACTATAAGAAAATGATCTTTTCAGAGGATGGACACAAAAGAAAAAAGGGTTGAGATTGCTTCAGAGTCCAAGGTTTCAGTGCACAGTTTTTAGCCATAGCTTTGGTGCCAGTGCTGAGGCAGTAAATTAGGGTGGGGCACATTCTGGCTGGCGTCCTTTGCTTCCCTGCAGCTGGCGAGCAGGGAGAAGGACGAAGGGACCAGCATCCCACAGTCCCCTTCAAGGGCGCTCCTCCAATGACCAAGACATCCCAGTAGCTCCTATTTCTGAAGTTTCCATGCCTCTCAATGTCCTCACAGCTTGTGCACCAAGCCTTTAACCCTTGGGCCTTGGAAGCCACTCATGCAAAGTATAGCAGATGTGATGGCTGTAGTTACAGTGTACACAAAACAGATGCTTGTTATGATCTCTCCTCAGTAAATTTTGGAGAAGACATTGATGGGCAGAAATCCTCACAGGAAGAATAGACTGGCACAGTGCAGATGTGATGTCTTTCATGTTTAAGAAGAAATGTGCATAAGATCATAATGCCTATAAAATCATGGAGAGTGGAAATGCACTAGAAAGCGGTTAAGAGATTGACAGTGAAAAATCCTGGAATTTTACGACAAGAAGAATCGGGGAAAGAGGGGTACTGAGGAACTCATGGAAAATGACACAGAATGTGAAGAAATCCGTGCTGTGCTTTATTGTTCATAAGAGCAGCCATGAGCAAGAGGCATAGAACAGTCAAGACAGAATGAGCTGAATGGTTGATATCTGCTGGGCTCTTTCCCTGACAGCGTCAGTGCTACCCAACGACCTGCCTTGTGGACCAGCCATGGTGGAAGGAATGCGTACTTTGTATGAGGTCAGCAACATGGGATCCCAGTCATCAAGGCTTACCAGTTACTGCTGCTGCAAAATGTTAACCTTCCAGACACAAGGACCACCGATAAACTCCTATTATGACATCAATCCTCAGGAAGAGAAACCAACCAAATTGTATTGATTGTCCCTTGGCATAATTTTTCCTTACTGTATATTGTACAACTTTCAATATGGGTTTGACTCGCTTGTTTGTAGTGTTTCATCAGAGACCACTAACACAATTCTTCAAGGGAGTGCATTTATGAATTCAGGATATTTTGTATGATCTCCTGAGTCCCAGTACCACACAGGGCATCACAGGCCCTCAGTGGGCACAGGATATAACTGACGAAGTTGCTGTCTCAAACTATACCACAGAGGAGCTGCTGGCCTTGATGAGCAATGGGGTAACTACTTCAAAGAGAAAATGAGTTGAAAATTAGAAGGTGGCAACCTGTAAAGATGGGCTGCTATCTTCCTCAGTCAAATACAAACTAGATGTATTATCTTCACCGGCCAGCAATAAGTAGAAGACAGAATACAATAATGAAGGCTTGGGGTGACCCCACTTCTTATCACTCCCTGTGTCCTCCTTGGGAGTTTGAACCTCCACCCCACAGGTCTATATTCTGAACTTCTCCACCTGTGCTATCCAATAAGATTTAACTGTTTGAAAATATATGATGTTTACAAAGTATATGTAAAATTAAATTAAAATTGTAGCAACTCAGTAACATTAGACACATTTCTTTTTTTATTTTAAAAATAAAACGAGGAAAAGCATTAACAGACAGAAAACATTTTACAGCATAGCAAAAGAACAATACAGACAATACGGAGTTACAAACAAGTGGTAGGAAATTAACAATGCTTGTTGTATTACATATTGATATCTTCAAAGTGGCTTCTGATGAAAATAGAGAAATGCAATACTGATCAACCAAAGACTCACTGACAGTTTCTTTCAGCACAGAAATAAAAGACAGTAGAACAACCATGTTAACTATCCTGTATATACATACATACAAAATTTCTTCTTCTTTCCCTTCTCTTTTCCCACATCCCAGTTGCCCTTTACTCTTGAGTGGTTTCCTATCATTTCACAGAGTCTATCATACCTCCAAGTTTAAATTAACTCTTTCAAGTTTTACACTAGTGAAAAAATGCGATGCTTGCACATGTATGTTTGATTTATTTCACTTATGAGTATGGTGTCTAGTTGTGACCATTGGCCTATAAAAGCCTCAAGTTTATCTTTCTTTATAGTTGAGTAATATTCCATTATATAAAAGTACCACAATTTTCTAATCCAATCCTCGGTGGATGGACATTTCGGTTGCTTCCACATTTTTTTTTTGTTTTGTTTTTTTGTTTTTGGTTTTTCTCCGGTACCGGGAACCAAACTCACGACCTTGAGCTTCCCAGGCAGGCTCTTTGCCGCTGAGCTAAATCCCCAGCCCCAGCTAAATCCCCAGCCCCTCTTCCACATTTTAGCAATTACAAATTGTGCTGCTATGAACATAGGTGCACATATATCACTGTGATATGATGTTTTTAGATCTTCTGGGAAAATACCCAGCAGGGGGATAGCTGAGGTGAATGGGACCTCTAGACCTAATTTTCAGAGGAATCTCCAAACTGATTTCCACAGTGGTTTCACCAGTCTGCAATCCCACCAGCAGTGGAGAAGGGTTCCTATTTCTCGACAACCTCACCAGCATTTGTTATTGGTTGATTTCTTAATGCTAGCCATTCTTACTGGGGTAAGGTGGAATCTCAGTGTTGTTTTAATTTATTAGACACATTTCAATACTAAATGAGGACACGTGGTGGCTGGGTCCCGTACTGGGCAGTGGTAGCTAAAAGCATTTATTTTTGTTTGTTTGTTTGTTTGTTTTTGTTTTTCTCCGGTACCGGGAACCAAACTCACAACCTTGCGCTTGCCAGGCAGGCGCTTTGCCGCTGAGCTAAATCCCCAGCCCCCAGCATTTATTTTTAAAGAATACTTCCACCAAGAGAAACATTGAGATTCCTAGTGAGCTTTATGCTTTAGTGCTCACCTAAGCACATCTTTTCAGTGTGAAGGATGAATCCATACGAAAGTGAATCTGGTACATGCAAGACCAATGCTGCTGGAATGAGCGACCTTCCCAAACTTCACTTGTCGGTTTTCTGTTTCTTCTGGCTTTGTGGCAGGTGGAAGAGACAGGAGTCACAATCCTGTCAGGTAAAGGACCTGAACCTTTATAAGAAGGCAGCGAAGGTCTTAGATCTTAGGAAGAAACAGATGTGCAGATGATCCCATTGAATATGTCTTGGTAATCCCCTGGCCCTTTGCTTCTTAAATGGGCAAGGTCACTCCTCATTGCCTGGAAAAAGCATACATATCAGGGGCTCAAAATCGTAAGGGAGAAAGGTCTTTTTTACACCAACCTGTGAGCTACTGTGACTAACAAAACAGAATGGAACTATAAAATGTAATTTTTTTTTGTTTTAGAGATAAGGAACTTATACAGACTTTTTCCTTTTTTAAAAACGAGTACCCCTTCATGTCCTCAGCCCACAAGAACTGGGAGCATATGCAGATATGACCAGGCCCAGGAGACTGGATGCCGGCTTAGAGGAGCATGAGGTGAAGACTGCTGGAAGTGATAAGGCAGGTGCGGAGATCTGCATTATCTCTCTGGGCCTTCCCTCCCCTCTGTTCCTAATTATGGAAAGCCCTTACCCACCTGGAAGAAATCAGATGGTTGTTTGAGACAAATTCTTCCTTCCTTCTTTTTGGAGGTAGCTTTAGATATATCAATTTTTTCTTTTTTCTGAAATAGTTGGCCTTCTTTGATTCAGTCATCTGTAAAAAAATGAAACTCAATGTAGTAACTTTCATGCCCTTTATGCTATGAAGAGCAGCACAGGTGCTGGCTGAGGCAGAGGGCACACTAGAAGGGCAGTAGACTAGGCTTGTGCCTTTTAACCAAAGTAATAGAGGGCACAGTATTTGTACACTATCCTTTCTCATGAGAACTGCTCTAGGAAAAAACAACTAGATGCCTTGAGGAGAAGTCCTCTGAGGATGTGAAATTTCCTGCTATGGAAAGAGCAGTTTGAATTTCATAGAACCATATTTTGAATCAAGGTTCATATATGCGCTGACTGCCTGTACAGTGCCTGCTCTCAGCTCAGCTTTCATACCTGAATCTGTTTAATAGTCTCCTGGTAATGAGAAACACGTTTATCGTATATTTCTTTGAGATGAACACCTTTACTGCTCTAAAATCATGCAGGAAAAAACTCCCTAAAAATGGTACCGGGCGTCTGCAGATAGGGCCTTTGCATGTTTCCACCTGCACTGGGCCCTGTCCTGGGCTGAGCAGGTGTGGTAGGGACATAGATCTCATGAGGCTCCAAATTGGGCAGGTGGACAGTGGACCAATGGAGCAGAGAAACTGGACAAGGAAACCTCAGTCTGCACAGAGATTTGGGTGATTTTGGTGACCACCTGCCATTCACCCTGGGGAGGATATCACAACTGTCATAGGATTGACAGATAAATCTCAGCAGCCTGAAGTGTGTGGGAGTTAGAAGAAAACCCTGCCCTCAGCTTTGTGTGGTGGCATCTGCCCAGGGCCTTCAAGAGTAGAATCAGCTTGCTGCTACGAAGGAGAGCAGACATAAATGGTTGAACAACCTCAGCATGGATACAGAGAGATCTGTGTGCTGTGTGGCAATGGTGTGTTATTCCAGGCTCCTTCAGCTTCTCCTGTGGATGTGCTGCACTGAATAACTATTGTTTCTTCTAGTGTTTCACTTTCCTTGATGGGTAGTCTTCAAGAATGTGAACTTTTCTGCCATGCAATGAGCAGCCTGAGCTTCTTTTTCTTAGCAGCATAGTCATCTAATGACCCTTCCTAATTAGAAGTGGACTATAATGCTCACCTGTCTAACAGAGAAGGGGAGACAAGTGGTGCATGGAGGAGGACCTGTAGTGTCAGTGTACGTGATCACTTACAGGGCGCTCAACCAATAGCAACAACTAAGATTTTAAAGATAAAATTCTTATCCCGTATTGGAGGAGTTTCTCAGAAGTTGTGATAATTGTGGAAATTATCTGTTTGAAGTGTCACCTACTATGGGACAGATGCTTCAGATACATAATCAATCTCATTTCCATATTATTCTAAAAATTTTAGCTGATGGGGTTCTTGTTCTTCACTAATTAGCATTTGTCTATTCTTCCTTTCACAATAACCTCCAAACATAGCAGGATGAGAAGTTTCTCCTATTTTTAGATTCACAGAAGTCTCCTACCTGTGAGTTGCTCCTACAACTTGGGATATATAGCTTTGCTCCCTCCAGCCCCTTCCCCTCTGCCGTTCTGTCTTGGAGCTGGCCGATGATGGACTGAAACCTCTATAAACTATCATTTCTTCCATAGCTTACCAGAGTTTAGCTATGGTGTCTCAGCAATGAGGTCACAAGTGAGGTAACCCCTATGTGCTCCTGTTTTCTCCATCTTCCTCGTGGCCATACCTGTGCGCATCTCTGTCATGACTCCCCATCTTCCTGCCTGGGTTAGAAGTAAGCATGCCACTTAGCACCTCTGAAGGCTGACCCAGGGGACAAGCAGACTCTGTTGCTGGGAAGCAGACACCCCCAGTCTTAAAAAAGCAGTTCTCTCTCTCTCTCCTGGCTAGGAAGTAAAGGAGACAGGTTGTATGCAAAGAAACCAAACCCTGGGGAGTCCAGGGAGTCCCAGGAAGAAAAGGCGGTACTTCAATACACTAGGGATTGTTGTGATCTTCACTGGTGTTGCGGAACTCTGCTCCCACAGAGGTCTTACCCAGGTCACTGTGGATGAGAGACCCTTGTGCAGGTGTCTGTCATATCCTTGGAGAATGAATGGCTTTGGGTTCCCTTCCCGGAAAGTGTTGAGTGTTAGAACTGGGAACTAAGAACAGCTATGGGACAACTTTACTTCTCAGTTTGCAGTACCACACTCCCACAGTGACTGGGTGAGAGACAGTTGCAGGGAACCTCCCTGGACAGAGGAGCAACTGGAAAGAGACACCATGAAGGGTTTGAGCTCAGCTGGCAAGGGCACAGGCCCTATCCCCCAAGAGATGCCAGGCTCCATGTTTCTTGCTCTGGACTTGTAAATCTCAACCTTGAATATCAAGCCCTTGCTCTTCTGACTCCGTCCAGCACACATCTAGGGTCTAGTTGCATTCCTTGTCTAGCAATATAAGCAAGACATGCCTCTATTTGAACACTACCATAGTCTGCGAAATGCAGAAACTCCAGCTACTAGAACACTGAGAATTACTGGGCTCTGAAACCTACCACTCCAGAAGGAAATAATTCATTCAAATTCCCAGAGACATTTTTTTCTTTGTTCTTATTTTCCTTAGTCTTCCCTTTTAAACTCACATTCCCCATCTTTCATTTCTTTTTCCTTTTAAATTTTCCTTTTCTGCTTTCTTATTTTTATTCTCCATATAATTTCCTTTCTCCCATTTTTTTTTTTGTTGACTTGTATCTCTTGGGCATTTTTATTGCTGTCCTTTCCTAATGCTACAAACTCACTTCTAGTGCACAAGATCTTGGGCTCCATTTTTCTCTTCTCATTCTCACACTTACTGGAATAAAATTTAACTTTTAATAATTTGTCCCTTACCGAGCCATTTATATTTTCAATAATACAACAATTAAGCCTTTTTAATCTTTAGAAAGTTACCTCTATAAAATTACCCTTGGATATCTTTCTAGCCCTAGAGAAGCTACAGATGTTGCATTTAGTACATATTCCCTGTTTGTAATATGAATGTGGTATTAATATTTATGCTGTAAGTGTAGATATAAGATTAAAGGTAATATCCAATTACTTGTCATTTTGTGTTATTATCTGATTGATCTTAGATGATAACACTGTACCTGCTTTGCTTGAGAACGCCCAGGTCACACGATTAATGCCACTAATTGGTTTTCTCTGTGACAATATGCAGATAACCACTGTGAAATTAACAGTACTGAGGCACATTCCCAGAGAACTTGCTATTGGGCCAATTGCACTGCATCCTCTGCTCCAAAATTAACAAAGGTGGTCAGATCTTAAAGAAGAGGTAAAAGACTTTAATTAACCATGCCCAGACACATCCCTGAAAAGCAGACTAGGTAGACAGATCCGTTTACTAGCAACAAAATATCTTGCACTAGAACCAGCACAAATTTTAGAACAAAAGCACCAAACAGAACAACAAACAAAAAAATATAAAATATTAGAAACATGAAAAGGCAGGGGAGCATAATGACCTCCAGATTCACAACTCTACTAAAGCCAATCCAGGAAACATTGATGGGGATATTAGCATAATGTACAAACCAGAACCTCCAAAGGATGCCAGAGGAGTTTGGAAAACAAATCAAAGAGCTGTTGTATGCGATCATAGAAGATATAAAAAACAAATAACCAAGAAAATCTTCAATAAGATACGAAGAACAGAATGCAATAAACCATCAAAAAGACCACACATCATGAACAAGCAGAATTCACCCCAGGGAGGGGTTAGGTATTTAGCTCAGCAGCACAGTGCCTGCCTGGCAAGCTCGAGGTCGTGAGTTCGAATCCCAGTACTGGAAAAAAAAAAGAATTCACTCCAGGGAAATAGGGATGATTCAATATGTGCAAATCAATAAATACATCACATAAACAGATGCACTGACAAAAATAGCCTGAGCATACCAACAGACACAGAAAAAGCATTTAATGAAATCCAATATCTATTCATGATAAACAGAAAACAGGTAATTATGTATCTCAATCTGACAAAAGTCATCTAAGACAAACCAGTCTTAACTATCACAACAAATGGGAGTGTTGAAAGTTTCCCTACTGAATTCAGGAACAAGGCAAGGACATCTACTATCACCATTCTTTTTTAGTATAGTTGTCAAAACATATGCAAAAATAATGAGATAAGTAAAATAAATGAATGGGATCTGTGTTGGAAAAGGAAGAAGTTAAATTATCATTATTTGTAAATGACATGATTGTCTACAGAGAAGACTCCAAAAACTTCATCAAAAGACTCATGGGATTAATCTGCAAAGTCAGCAGTGCAGTCCATTACAAAGTCAGCACACAGCAATCAACAGTGTTTCTGTACACAAAGGCAAAATGATCGAGCAAGAAATTAGGGGGAAAGGTTTTTTTAAGTAAAGTGAAATTCTTAAAGTGTTAACCTAAATGAGAAAGTTAAAGACCTTTACAATGAAAACTGTAATTGTGTAAAAGAGGAAATCAAACAGGATGTCAGAAAATGAAAAGATATCCCAGGATGCTGGACAGGCCGAATGAAGTTGATCAAAGTTTCTGTAATTCCAAAACTGTTACACAGTGTTAATGCGAAACCAGTCAAATACAAACAGCATTACTCACAAAACTACAGCAAACAATACTCAAATTCATGTGGCACAAAAAGAGAACTAGAATAGCAAAAGTAATCCCAAGAAACAAGACCAAGGCATTGAGTGTCATAATCAGAGATCTGAAGTTACACTACAAAGCTACATTGATAAAAATAGCATGATACGGGGCTGGGGATTTAGCTCAGCGGCAAAGCGCCTGCCTAGCAAGCGCAAGGTCGTGAGTTCAGTTCCTGGTACTGGAGAAAAACCAAACAACAACAACAACAACAACAACAAAATAGCATGATACAGGCAAAACAAACAATAGCTACCCAAAACTCAAACCAGCTAATCTTTGGACAGGTCACCAAATACCTCAACTGGTAAAAGATAGCCTGTGTAACAAATGGTGCTCAGAAATCTGGCTATACATACGTTATTGACTGA